TGGCGACCGAGAATGAAAGCATTTCTGATGATTGACACATTAGTAACAAAGGGAACAAAAAAACTGATAACTTTTGCGTGCTATGTGTGAAGCGCCACACCTGACTGTGGCTGCGTGTGTCTGTCTGTCTCTACGCAGTTCTGTCCGTCTGTCTGTCTGTCACGAAATTTGGTAATACTTGGAGGACAAGCTGAAGAGGTCAGGTCAAAACTGAACACGTAGCGCATCACACACCATCTACGGAGCACACATGAGATAAGATGGGCGGGGCTAAAGTCAAAACTCGCAAAATGGTTCAAAAACTCAACAGAAACTGTTAAAAAAAGCGAACAAGTGGACAGCGAAGGAGGAGGATTCAGGTCCGCACGGTGAGCGAAACTTGCGCAGATCACAAGTTGAAATTTTAGTTGCCCATTCGATGTACCCGTATCACGCACGCGTTAGGGTGCGAGCCAAATTGGTTACATCACATAGCACGCTGACCGTATGAGCAAGGTTTGTGCATGGCCCCCATTTGATTCGTCAGCTCCTCTTGCTGTGGTAAAGTATGGTAGAAGACTAGAGGGATAAGGACACTAATGAGGGAGGGCGTGGCGCAAACCCCTCCCTATAAGTAACACTGGTGCTTTTTTATGGATTCTGATTTGTACTTTGCTTAGTGATAAATAGAGCATCTTTTTCAGAAGCACCACATTATTCGAACGCAGTAACCCACACCTATTCGTTCGCGTTTATGTGCCTTCAAAGTGGCGACTGCAGACAATTACAATAGCATCGCTCAAAAACATGACAGTTGGATAAACACAAAATTGAAATATTCAATTCCCAAGATCGAACTAATCGCAAATAAGAAAATTCTGTAGAATAAACATACTTTTAGAACTGATCACTGGCAAGCGTCCGCAGAAAAGAACTGAACAATTTTAGGGACGAGGGGCCAGTGAAATTGATGAAGCTATCGCCAAAAAAGGCCCGCAAAAAAATTGGCAACTTGTAAAAGGCTGTTACTCCTAACAGCCCGTTTAAGGTGTTCGTCCTAAATGGACAAACCAAAGGAGAGTTTGGTAGCAGAGAAAGATAGAGAGAGAAATGAGG